ACATCATATATTCTTTGGAGAAAAATTATCATTGTAATAGGCGTTTCTCTCGCTTATTACCCTGTGAAACTTTGTTTTGTTTCGCTATGGATATCATTAATAGGATTCTTTTAATGATGACATTGTCTAACTTAAGCAAATTGATATCAACAGAGCCATTAGGGGTCTGCTCCAATACAACTTTAGGGTACGTATGTTTTTCAAACTGTGGATTTTTAGACAATCAGTATGATAATTTTTTGATCATAAAAAAAATTTTAAAAAGAAGAATAAAGAGACACAACGTTATGTTTTAAAGCGTTTAATTTCAGATTATATTTGAATGGATGCGCCAATCACAGTATTATAGCAAAACTTCAACTAACATGTACATGCGTACCTTAAAAAACAAAACGTTGAGTTGTTGACTATTTTTTGTTAAGTTACCGTAACGTTATGCTCGATTGTATATGTTCAAATTTATGTTAAAATTTAATTGGTCTCTAAATTATTCATCACTTTTTCATGCAACAAAAATGATTTGCTTTTGAATTTTTTAGAGGTCCTCTTACCTGTTGTGAAAATTACCGTAAAGTTGACGATAGATGTCAAGGTAGGTATGACAGTAAAATGTTTGATATAATCATTAAACCTTTTAAAATGGTATCGACTGTAACATTGCATTGCTTTAGAATTCGCAATCCCAGCAACATTGCATCTGGTAATTGCTCTATTTAAACAAAATCACAGAGCGAGGTGGAAATAACAGCAAAGCTTGCAAAAACATTTAAAGTCATTGATAGGGAACACTTTGAAGTTTTGAAGTAAATTTGACTGATTATGTTTACTGTTTTTATGATTTAATTTTTCATAACATGTTTTAAGCCTCAAGTTGAAGTTTTAAACTCAATAGGATATGCATAACTTACATGATTCTCAGCATTTTCATTTTAAATTCATCACGAGGGATATTTCTTAATATGATACATATATTATTAAATATATGTACATGCTCTTTCATCCTAAAAAAAAAAATTCTATAATTCGTGTGTTTGTTTAATACACTATTGATAAATTTGTCACATATTGAATCACAACCAAATGTCGGATAGGGAAAGATAGACATGTTCTCCCAATTAAGGGCCTTTGAGCAGTACATGTAAGAACACTTTATCCTTGCTACGACCAACTGCGACACGACACCACGTTTATACGCTTATTTATAAGGTATCGGTCTTTTAACTTTCCACAGTGAGATCAATGATTTTAATGCATGTTGTTTAACGGCTGATTCGAAAATCTTTTATTTACATAGAGACGTCATCATCAATCCATGAAGGGCTTCAGATTTAGATCTTTATTCAGCATTCGGGGGACATGAGCTCTGAGTGTTCTTTTTTTCCCGTCGTGACACATGGCTTTGAATCAAAATGTCTCATCCGAAGGACTCGCAACTTCAAAGTGCCAAGCACTTGGCGAAGGCACAGTTGCTACCTACTATTTAGCGACTTAGGTCAGTCGGGGCCAGGGTTCTAACGCAGAACCTTTCTATCACGGACCTATAACGCAATACTGACTTAGCTATGATTTAAGTCTTTTTCGTCATGAACAATACCTTAATCTGCAACTCTTGAGGAAACAATCTCACTAATCAGCTACACAGGTCCTCTCAAAAAAGCACAAACTCATATGTTCAAAATCTTCTTTATTTATTGAAAAAATGCTACAAAAGTTTGAATTCATTAAACATTGCAAAGAATGAAAAGATTTTTCGTTTTCTTTTTATTTTCATCATGTTGATCATCATAAAATACGATTCTCTTGAAAGAATGCGTGGCAGGAACGTTTGGTACAAATTGCAACCAGACTTGTCCAGAAAACTTTTATGGAAGATTTTGTAATGAGGTGTGTGATTGCAAGGATTGTGACAAGAGTTTTGGTTGCCAAAAAGGTAACATTTGCAAAGAGTTTCAAATGCGGCATTTTTGTTTTATTTTTTATTCTCATAAATCTGTTTTAAATTAGTTTCTTATAAAATAAATTATTTCTTTATTTTTTTTTATAGATACATTAGAACAACAAGCTGTACAGATATGTATAAAAATTATTATTTTATCCACAATTGGCAATATTATAATCTGCGTTACATGTGCAATCTTCGTTTATTGTAAATTTTGGTAAGTTATTAAGCTTTTGATTAAACCATTATTTTTCTCTAAGGAACTGTCATTTTCTATATATGTGTACGTGGGTGTTAATATCAAAGAAAGAGATACTGCAGTATATGATGAATGATAAAAAACTAAGAAACTTAAGAAATTGCCATTGATTTTTACAGGAAACATAACACATTAAATGCACCAGAGCAGTCTCAAAATAAAGGTAAAAGATGAACTTGATCGAGTAATTAGTTTTCGGAGAATTCCCATTACTAACTGGCAAATTTGAAAAAGAAAAAAGATAAATATTATAGAAAAAAGTCGGAAGATTTCTTAAATATTTATTTTTGCACGACTATATGCGCCAGAATATAAGACCAGGATCTTAGTTGTTCATATAAATATTTCAAACATAAAAACTCCAAAAATTAAAAAACAAGTCCATTTATATATTAAAACTGGTTAAAATAATTTAGTACTTCCACATGTATAATAATGTTTTTCAACATACAATTTCCTAATTTCATTTCTCATATTAATTTAGTATTCGTCTGCATTTCAATCTCTTAAGGACTAACACAACGTACCTTACTTTAATTTTTTTAAAATTTGATAATTTTTCAAGACATTTTAAATTTAAGATTAAATTATGATCAAATGTTCATATTTGATCAAATTTAGCACGTATTACCAGGGGTTTTTGAAAGATACTACTTGATGACAAATCTTGGATGATTCAAAGTAAAAATATATAAAAATTACTAGATATATATTCTAGATGTTACTTTTATCAAATGTTGTTTTAGAAGAAGCGTTTATCATCATATATAGACATTTAAATATAGCACACAGTCCCTTCAAGCATCGGAACTCTTCAATTCCAAAAAAGGCAAAAAAGTTCGAAGTACGCTGTGTATGTCCTTAAACAATATTTTTTTTATTATCTTAAAAAAGTTAGATATAATAATATGTTGTTTTATACAAGAAGGTTTAAGAAAAATAGGAATTATGCATAATCTAACATCACTAGCATCTTTATCATGGCTAAACATTTTGAAGAGGTAAAAATGGTCTTAGCTAGAAATAAACGGTTTACTTTCCTTTACAGTTTCAGAGTTTAATGGAGAGAATACTGTCAATCAATGTTTGAGTACTAGCACCAGCAATAAGCTAGGAGAGGATATTCACTGTCCAGAATCAAGTGCGATAAACATTCAGCAAAATGGAAACACATTCTGCAACCAAGCAAAGCAACAAACTGCAAAAGAACAAAATCCTTTATCTTTGTGCACAGCTGAGGATGTATATGTATCTTTATACGATGAAACAGAGCGATATAACGTTTTATCACTAAAGCACAAATATTAGACATTGCAAAAACTATATGCAGGACTTTTCAAAACCATTGTACTTACCAAAGGAACAGGTAACGAACATACATGTAAAACATTCAAACATAACCAAACTGTCAACAGGTAGAAAAATACCTACCTTAAGATATTTAGAAATACGATCGTAGAATCAGATGCAAATTAAAGGGAAAAAAAGTAAAGATGGACAGAAACGATCTAAAATAAATTCTACAAATATTAAATACCCCAAAACAGGATATAAAACACGGTACCTGGAAATTTTAGCATCAGTTTTCTAGGAGAAGAAATACTCTACTGGGAGCTCACACCCGCCATAAGCCTAGTGTACTTAGAGATTAATCGGGATTTGTCTGTTTTAAATCAATCGGCGACGATAAATTTTCTAGACGGAGGAAAAATTCTTCAGGCAATTATTATTTGTGGGTTAATGTAGGTCGTAAAACTTGCGGATATTTTTCGCAATCGAATAAAAGTAAGTTTACATTATTATGTAGATTATGCATGTATCTTTTTGGCAGATTTATGGTAGACCAGATTTTTGTTGTTTACATTTGAAATGAATTTGTACCTGGATCGTGTTCCTTGTTTCCTACATCATCCGCACGACGACTTTATTCCTCTTGTAAAAATTTGGGTTTTTTTTTTTAATCTACACTGTCTCTGATTAGTTTTAAAGGAAAATTTGTTTAAGTTTTTTTTTTCAAAATAGATGAGTCTATTATAGCTTATCTCTTAAAACATGCAACCAAGAGTTCATTGCAGATGTGGTATTACGTTTAAAACTTATCATAAAAACATGTGCCTAATTCATTTTTCGAATTCCTCTTGACGTTCAATCTTTTTTACGAAAGTTCTGTAAATACAATGCAATTAATCAATTTAAATTAAATCAAAATGCACCTGGGTGGTTTCAATGACATGAACGGCTACTCTAGACCATTGCTATTTCAATGTATTTGTAAGTTATTGTTCCAAAGTTTGACAGTTATTTGGTTTGATATAAGTATATTCCAAAATGACATAGAATTTTACAAAATGTACATTTCTAAACTTGTAATTTTTTAGAAGGCCAAGAAACGAAATGGAACATCGCGTTAGTATTGAACTTGTATAGACACGTTCATTTCTTGAAATTTAGGGATTACCACAAATGATGGATTATCTTATGTCATACTCACAACTCTGGGTAATCTATCCTTAGTATTGGAGAAGGTAGATTACTCAGAGAGACGAATTTAATATTTGTGGGTACCAAAGGCAAGTATTGAGGCGCACCCTGATGAAATTATTTCCATATAGTTTTTGTACATTTGTATACCAGGAAGTGAGATTCGACCAGAGTCAGAAATTGAATGCCTTTTTTTTTGCTGTAGCACTAGTTTCCGTCAGAGTCCCGAGATGATCTGTTCCCATCACAGTTACAGGCATCTATCCTGGCAGGCTGTGATACCCAGTGTTTCTCCAGTGGTATTTTTATCTACATATGTATAGAATTTTACAAACGCTAGCCAATAAACGTAATACTTGCGTTTCAACAATTCAACAATTAACGTGAAATTAATTGTTGTTAACACAAGTACGTGTATTCTATGCATCTGGCATAAATAACATTGCATTTATCATCATATTGTGATTACTCTTACAAATACCAGTGCAAGAACGATTACTCGTGCGTTCTTGGTAGTGGTAACGCATTCTTGAGGCTGAAAATTCTGTCCTAAGTTTCAGAATTTAAGAGAAGCCCATTTTACCTCAAATAGATACAGTCATATATATATATATATGTGTGTGTGTGTGTGTGTGTGTGTGTGTGTGTGTGTGTGTGTGTGTGTGTGTGTGTGTGTGTGTGTAGGGTGTGTGTGTGTGTGTGTGTGTGTGTGTGTGTGTGTGTTTGTGTGTGTGAGAGGGTGTGTGTGGGTGTGTGTGTGT